AAAGGTGAGTGTAGGTAGGGAGTTAGGAAGGGGATAGGTCAGTCCAGGGAGGACGGACAGGTCAAGGGGGCGGGATGAGGTTGGTCGGTAGGAGATGGAGGTGCGGCTTGGGGTGGGAGGAGGGGATAGGTGGGAGGAAGAACAGGTTAGGGAGGCAGGGACGAGTTGGACTGGTTTTGGGATGCGGTGGGGGGAGGGGAGATTTTGAAACTTGTGAAATCCACATTGATACCATTGGGCTGCAGGGTTCCCAAGCGGAATATGAGTTGCTGTTCCTGCAACCTTCGGGTGGCATCGTTGTGGCACTGCAGGAGGCCCAGGATGGACATGTCGTCTGAGGAATGGGAGGGGGAGTTGAAATGGTTCGCGACTGGGAGGTGCAGTTGTTTATTGCGAAATGAGCGTAGGTGTTCTGCAAAGCGGTCCCCGAGCCTCCGCTTGGTTTCCCCGATGTAGAGGAAGCCACACCGGGTACAGCGGATGCAGTATACCACATTGGCAGATGTGCAGGTGAACATCTGCTTGATGTGGAAAGTCTTCTTGGGGCCTGGGATGGGGGTGAGGGAGGAGGTATGGGGGCAGGTGTAGCACTTCCTGTGGTTGCAGGGAAAAGTGCCGGGTGTGGTGGAGCTGGAGATTGGCTAAGGTAAATGTGGAGTTATAGGGATAGGGTAGCGGGCTGGGGTTGGGTCTGGGTGGGATGCTCTTCGGAGGGTCAGTGCAGACTCGAAGGGCTGAATGGCCTATTTCAGCACTGTACGGATTCTATGATCTTTCTGACGTTTGCAATTTGTAGGTATGTGCCCATATTTACAGAGGCCTCCACGACAGAAATATGTTCTAACTAGCCTTTTCTCCATACTGTCCCACTGTCGATTCCTGTCTGAAGTTGATTTGTCTTTTCTTTTTCTTTCATGGGATTTGAGAATTTGTTACCAATCCCTAATTGGCCCGGAGCTGAATGTCTTACTCAGTCACTTCAGAGGGCAGTGAAGAGTCAATCACATTGCTTTTGATCTGGAGTCACATGTAGGGCTAGACTCCCATCCAATGGGTTTTTCACAGCAATCAGTGATGGTTTCATGGTCACAATTACTGATATCAGCATTACAATTCCAGCTCTATTAATTGAATTTAAATTCCATCAGCTCCTGTGTTCGGATTCAAACCAATGTCCTTAGCGCATTGTGCTACCATCTCTTCCATCATGTTTGATCACTGGGTGGTGATCTGTAGTTGCTGCTGTGGCTTTTCTGAATTTCTGAGCTGAAAATTGGCATGTGTTATGTGTGCTGGTGTTGGTGACCTGTGCTCCAGCATATCACTGACTGAGATGCAACTCCAAGTAACCATTCCCTTTGACCTCCATTCACAAGGCTCAGTAACAGCTTGCTTTCATGGTCTATTGATGTTTTCGGTATTATTATGCCTCTTCGGGTTTCTGATGGGTCTGGGATGGGATGACGGAGAGGGGGGAGGTTGGTGTCATGCAAGATGGCATAATGCTGTGTTTCAGTCCAGATTCCCCTTCGCCATCTTAGCTGTAATGAAACTGCCATCTCATTATTGTTCCAGACTGTAGACTGCTTGAACTGGCTAAAGTATTTTTAAGTCATCTTCTGGGTTTGATTTTTTTTTTTAAGGAGTGGGTTTGGTGATGTTGCGATGGATGGGGGGAGGGTGGCTTCATGCCTATGGGTGCGCAAGCTCTGAATGCTGCAGTAAATACTTCTATGACTGAATGTTTGCTGCTTCTCTTGTCCTTTCTAGGTCCGGAGTGGTGTGCAGGGTGAAGTATTGCAACTCTCTACCAGACATTCCCTTTGACCCAAAGTTTGTGACGTATCCGTTTGATCCCAACAGGTAAAAGCTGTGTTCAGTCGGCCTACAGGTTTAACTATTCTCCCTCTTCGGCAACAATGTCTCCCTTCCTTATAGCACTTACTGAAGTAGACAACAACCTTTTCGGAGAAGAAAGAGAGGCATAAAGCTCAGGCAGATTAGGGAAGAGAGTAAAAGACTTTTATGTCCTTTTGATTCATAAAGTTCAGGGATAGGTAGATTAGGTGGATGGGTCTGGGTGGGATGCTGTGAGGGTCAGTGTGGACTTGTTGGGCCGAAGGGCCTGTTTCCACACTGTAGAGATTCTATGACTTATTGAACACTTACCTCTATGACTTATTGAAAACTGCTCCTTCAGTCCAAAGAGTAGAGCAGGCAAAAAGGATGACACCCAAAACCCAGGACTGAGAATTGAACAGTGTCCACTGTGGTTTGAATTTAATGCGATCAGACTGCGGGTAGGGAAGGCCACTGTTGATGCACTGTCGAGCAGCTTTCTGGTTAATAAGCTGCCTATAATCGAAAGGATGGGAAGCTGCAGCAGGTTAAGTGAAAGGAGTGATGGCAATGATGGTGCAGTGTCGTGATGGAGGGTCAGATACGTTGAGTGTAATTAGAGAGGTACTGCTGACTGGTTGAGCAAATGGATTTGAGAATCCAGTTACTTGTGGCTAGTAGTTAGTGGGAGTAAAAGCATGGTGAAACAGGCCCAGGAGATACTTGGCCTTTGAGGCAAGAGAATTAATATCAAAGGAGGGAGGTACTAGAGATTGTTGGGGGCACTCCTCAATTGAAATATTGTGAGCCGCTTGAACCCTTGTAACTTCTGCCTACTTCTGCAAGTTAGGTAGGGTCAACGACTAAGTGTGGGGTCAGTGCTGAGTTGTTTCTCCTAGTGCCTTGAAGAGAATTTCATCTCTGAGTATCAACAGCAGCTTAGTCAATCATTTGGCTTATTGTGGGAGCTTGTTTGCAGAATAACTGCTTTGTTTGACAGTGCTCACAGCCTGTCTGGTTCACTTGTGAACTGTTGCACTGAAGTGTAATGATTTTAAATATCTTTTGAGTCATGGTGGGGCAAACGCACTCGAGAATTTGAGTACATTGGACTTGAAATAACAATTTTGAAATTTGCAATTGACACCCAGCTTGGAAATATCTCTCAAATAAAACAAAGAATGGTGGATGCTGGAGACCTGAAAAAAAAACAGAAATAGCTGAAGAACCACAGCAGGTCTGGCAGCATCTGTGGGAAGAAAACAAAGTTAATGTTTCGAATCTGATAACTCTTTATCTGAATAGCAAACCTGCCGAGTTTCTTCAGCAATTTCTGTTTTTGTTGTGGATGTTTCTCTCTTTCTCTGTCCCTCGCACTCTCTCTCTCTCTCTGTCTCTCTCTCTCTCTGTGTCCCTCGCGCTCTCTCTCTCTCTCTGTGTCCCTCGCGCTCTCTCTCTCTCTCT